ATTCTGGGCGGTCTTGCACTTCTAGCTCATTTTATTGCCGATCGACTTCATTCGAAACTTCCTCTACATTTCGATGGACATGTGTCGAAAGGATACGAGAGTGTTCAGAAGGCATTCGAGTAGGTTCTGAAAGTACAACTTCAATAAGTAAAGCTCTGTCGAGTAAAATACTTTCAGGCAGAATTTCATCGATGGTTGGGAGTCCGAAGGAGCATCATTTGCAGTGTATGTGAAAGGTCAAAAGGTAGTGGACCTGTGGGGAGGATATGCCGACAAACAAGCGGCCCGCATTTGGAAGGAGGTACGATAATTACCTCATTGGACAGTATAACCGAATGGATCCCTGACTTTCAGAATACCATTTCGGTGGCATTTTCTACGACAAAAGCCGTTGCAGCTGTTTGTATAGCGATGCTTGCTGACCGAGGACGTCTCAAGTACGACGATCTCGTCTCGAAACACTGGCCTGGATTTGCCAAGAACGGCAAAGAGAACATCACTATTGAATGGGTTATGTCACATATGGTAAGTTCTGGCTCTTTATATGGAAATTTTTCATGTCTAAAGCTCCATTCATAGTTTGCGAAAGCGTTTTTACCGGCAAATCAATGGCTATCCTAATTATAACCGCCAAATTTGGCTCGTCTTCATTAGGAACTTTTTGGTACAACTGCGGAACTGCACCATTTTGAAATGGTTCTGTCGTAAATCGCAATTTTCACATAAGCTTGACGCCTAGGTCCCGCTAGGATCCTGACTTTTGAGCAAAACTCAAGGCCTTAGACGAGAAGACGGGACCCGAACCCTAGGCTCTGCTTCTCCGTATTTTTTCAATGGCCTTAAGACATGGTTTGTAAGTACCCACAATATGAACCGACTAGTCGATGCCGGCAAGACTTTACTGTCGTTAAGCTCGCTTTTATGTCGGCTCGCTTCCGCTGAACATCTGAGACATACATAATCCTGGCGCTGATGGCTCGTAAAAATACCAAGGCATACTTAAAATACCAGATGTCGTAACACAGTTCACAACATGTAATCTTGAGGCGCCCTTTTTCAGTTTAGAAGCGGAAAACTCGGTTAAGAATAGTGTATAGCTGAAGAGAGCGAAGAAATTGGAAGAATCCGTGAAATATAAGGCTTATTAACAGTAGTGGGAGTAGCGATTGTACGAGATTACCCGGACGAAAATGCTGTGGAAAAGTTAGTTGGACGAGAGTTTAAATGTTGATACTTCGTAAAGAGCAGTTACTTCAAGCCAAAAAGTGGTGCAATGTCACTTTCCACTGCCGCTATGGGTCACAATTATTGTTCCTACATGGGTGCCCCTTGTGAACAGTGCAGCCTCTACAACGCCGTTGGAACTCGTCCGCCGCGAGGTGTGGCATACTGTGAAAACAGTATTTGAGCCCTTTTCATTCCGTATCTAGGCCGTTTTTTAACAGACTTACTTTAGCTCAAATTTCCAAATAGGAACCGAGCGAGTAGCGACGTTTTGCAGGACTTATTAGGAGCTCAACATCAACACTTCCACTTTTCAGGAGAAACCTTTTTCCAGCTTTTTTCGCCCTGTTTCCTCTTCGCACCAATAAAAAAAATCTCGTCTTTTCAGGCTGGGCTACCATACTTCGATACACAAATTACTGAAGAGATGGCAAGGGACCACAACCTCATGAGGAAGGTGATCGAAAACGAGACGCCCAAACGACCGGCTGGGAAAAGTAGTGGTTATCATCTGCTCACCTACGGATGGCTAGTGGATCAGATTGTAAGGCATACGGATGAGAAACACCGAGGAGTTGGACAATTTCTCAGGGAAGAAATTACCAAACCGAATGGTAAGCCCATGGAAGGAATATTTTTTTCCTCAACTCTGCTAAAACATCTTTCTGGCCGAATTTCTCGAAATGCTGGGGTGTGCAACAACTTTTCAATTGGGTTTTCATAAAAACCGAGCTAATCACAGGGTAGTTTGGATGTAACTTATTTCTCATGACCCATGTAACCATGGTACAGCATTCTCGTTTTCCTAGTAGAGCCCATTACTGATTCAAGGAACCAGCTTTATGCTAGAGCCTAAATAATTATCCTGTTTCCGTACCTTCATTGTTCTCATCCTACTCCTTTTTCAGGAATCGATTTCCATCTCGGTTTGCCTTCATCCGAAGAGTATCGAGTGGCTCGTTCTACTCTACCGACCGTCGTAGAATTGATCGAACAAGTCTGGTACGAAAAAAGAGTGGCCCATCAGATCCTCAACTTCTACATGGCGGACAAGGTATGAGTTTCAAAAAGTGTATCTAAGAAATTGGTGAATTAGGAGGTACAGAAGACCATACGTAGGTATGGTGGATGAGTCGTTCTTCTGAAAAGTTTGATGGCGTATTGTTTGAGCGATGGGAAATATCAGTATTGGTGTAGGCTGACCCCAAAGTACATATCGGCATGCCTCCTGAAGGCGATTCCGCCTCCAAATTGGCCTATAATCCTGCGTAGAACATCGCAGACAATGCAATCTAGGTCGGAACTGCTTATCGTACAAAGTGCCTTAAATCTAACTGGAACATATAAGGTCTGTTTGTTACTTGCAGGCTCAGTCAAAATCCCTTTTCAGAACAGCGCTGTGAGAAAGGCAATGGATAATCCATCATGGTTCGATGTAGCCTACAAGTGCACCGTGAACAATCCTGAACAACATGCACTGGAACAAGCAGCCGCAACTGGCATCGGAAACGCTCGATCGCTAGCTGCTATATTCAATCTGGTTGGTTTAGACAACAAATTTATTTTCCTTTTCCATGCCTTCGTAATCGAATGGTCGATTAGCAGCGCATGTTTCATTCTGGGCCTC